TAACCGTGTGGGTGTGTGGGGGGGGTTAGGGCAGGGCAGGTCTGTGGAAGGAGGATGGTGTCTGACCCCAGCCCCAGGGCGTGTGGTGTGACTGTGGTGTCACCTGCAGCTCGCAGGGAGATTGGTGAAGGGTGAAGGGTGGGGGGTGACTCCGGGCAGTGTCTGTGCCCAGTCAGTCTCACTGTGGCCAAGGGAAGAGTCTCTCTAGGGCAGTGGTCGATCGTGGGGGCTGCCAGTCGATCATGAAGCCGTGTGCCCAGCCCCCTTTGCCACCCCCCACCCACAATGCGGTTTCTTCTCTGGCGCTACAGCCTCCTGCCTCTCGCACCACTGGAGCGAGCTCCGGCTTCCTGGGGCCTGGGGGGAAAGTCCTGTGGCTCCATACTGGAGCCGGCTTTCTAGGAAGTGCGCACCCTGCTCCCCCCCGCCCCACAACAGTGCGCGCTTTCTTGTCTCCCCTCCTTTCCTGGATTCCGGGGAGGCAGGGGGGAAGAGGGAGTGAAGATGGCAGCGCAGGATCTGGAGCGGCTGGACTTCATCAAGGAGCCACACGTGTGCTTCTTCCAGTGCTGCCTGCAGATCCTGCCAGAGAGCACCTCATCCCTGGAGACCCCCAGATACCAGCTGAGCTGCCCCTGCGCCCATTCCCCAGGCCAGATCACCTCCAGCACCCTGCTCCTGTTTCCTGCCCTTGGGTCATATGCCCCAGCAGCACCCTGCCCCTGCCCCTGGGCCAGACCCCCACCAGCACCCTGCTCCTGCCCCCAGACCAGACCCCCACCAACACCCTGCTCCTGTACCCTACTTCCCACCCCAGATTCTGCACCCACATCCCTATCCCACTCACTGGCAGCTCTGTCCCCACACTGGACCCCTCATTTTTGGCCCCACCTCAGAGAGTAGAGCGTCCCACAGTATACACTAACCCTGTAACCCCAGAAGAGTTACTCTGGCCTGAAGCCTTGAACCTCAAACCTACCTACTCCCACAATGGGGCTGGAGTGCCAGGGGAGGGAGGTGTCTCAGCTGGGGTCACATCAGTGAGGCTTGGGGTTGTTTGGAGGGGTTGAGGTTTTCTGCATCTCACTTGTGTGGTCCCTGACCCAAAACAGGTTCCCTGCCCCTCCCATAAATAAAGACAATTCTGAAACATTTTGTGTTGGACGATAATATTTTATTTAAAAATGAGCCTGGCAGCAAGCCCTCGATTGGAGCCAAGCCCCCATCTGGCCACAGCATCATAACACTCCCGCACCCCCCCAATCCCACCCCTGAGCCCATCATACACTTGAACCCCCTGCCCTGAGCCCCTCACACCCCCAAACTTCTGCACCCCCACATCCCCAGTCTTCTGCCACAACACTCCTGCACCATCAGCCTGTGTCCTGAGCCCATCATACTCCCAACCCCCCTGCCCTGAGCCCCACACACACCCCAACCCAAACTCCTGCATCCTCACATCCACCTGATCCCAATACTCTCCAGTCTGGGGCACCCTCCCTGAGCCAGCATCCCCTTCCCCCCTCCCCCTGTTCTCAGGGGTGACGGAGGGGACGGCTGTTCTAGGTTGATGGGGTGAAGACGAGGCTTCAGGGACGTGTTCTGGGATCTAGACGGCCAGTCCCACAAAGCCCCTGGGCTTCCAGGGAAGGTGTTTTCCTCTGATTGGTGGCTGGGGGGACTCTTAGGGGGTCGTGCAGCCCTCTCCGGACGGGTCCCTCAGCCCCAGAACCTGCCCGGTTTGCTCAGGTGCTCTCAGGGCATTGCTCTGTGTGTCCCCTCCCCCCCCCCCCCCCGCGCACGCGCGGGCCCCGCCC